ACGTAGTGTCACTAAGTAATAGCATAGCCATTCACTTAATATCAAAAAAATTATAATTAGGAGCTGGATTTTCTTTTTTTACTTTAAGTGTCGGGAATGGTCTTCCATAGTGTGGTTCTGCTTTACTTCAGTTGAGATGACTGTCTGACAGACAGAGGAGGGGGGCAACTGGTTACATTAATATGAGGTGGGTTCAGGTGTTATAGGACATCAGTTACTGTGGGATTATGGGGTTGTATAGAAGACTGTTTTAGGTACAGTCGGCTACTGTGCAAAAGCCAGAGACCACAATTTCAAATATTCATTTCCCAGTCAAAACGGCCATTAGGAAGCCTCAACAGCTAAATATAATATCTCGCCTAGTGCCTTGAAAATTCAAGCAGTAAGCAGAAAACTGTATTTATATTCATTGTGCTTATTCAAAGACTTCTTATCATAATTGAAAGCAGAAGACACATTCTTCATTTTACATACAATTCGGAAGATAAATTAAAGGGACATTTGTGCCAAAATGAAAAATGTGACCGTCTCTACATCTGTTGTAAACATGCCTCTTGTCTCCTACAGCTGTGATGCATTCGTCTCTAGAGAGAGATGATTTTGTTTAAAGACTAGGAACCCCCTTCTGATGATACGTCCTGAAGATGAGAGGATGTGTTGAAACAATACAAGCAGTTTAATGAATTGCAGATACTTGAAGTAAAGCTGTTTGAAATTTTTTATTTTTTTTTCTTTCATTTAAAAAAAAAAAAAACAGGCAACAAATATTTAACAGAAAATTACATAGAAGCTAAATCTGTCAGTATTGCATTTGTCCATTCTTTAATTTTGTGCACGCTCCTGCCAATTTAACTGCATCCTTCCAATCTTAAAACCGAAGAGTTCCAGCTGTGTCCTCCCAACAAAAGTTGTTCCCAAAGGAGTCACTGACATTATGCTTCCCTTCAAACACCAACATTCACACAAGTAACTACCAAAATAATAACTCACTTGCATAAGCAAGAAGAAAGTCAAAGGGAAGTAAGTGAACAAAACAGGAGTTCAAAAGAAATATTAAAAGATTTAGAAAAAATTGGACTCCTATTGACCATGTAAGACCACCAACACTGTCACCATCAGATAAACACAACTCACAGCTTTCATCTTTGAGAGAGAGGAGAAAACAAGCTCCACTCTTACTTCAGATCTGAAAAAATCCACAGGGGTTTCTGTCCATCCTTCTGCTGTGAGAAGACAACTCAACACTGAGTCTAAAAGAGTGTGTGACTGTTAAGAAGCTGTTACTGAGATACAAAAATAAATAAAAACATGTTCACTAGAAAACTGAAACTGGTCATCTGAAATGTCTAGTAAGGTTGTATTCACCCAAAAATTTAAGAGTTTCAATTTGTGATTACTTGGATTGTGAGAAGCAGAAATGCAACCAACTTCTCAGACTGAACTTTGGAGGTGTGGAAAAATATCCCTGCAGATTTCTTTGAAAAACTGAAAGCAAGATTGGACACAGTAAATCATAAAAAAATGAAATTATATTTAATTGTTGAGGCTTCACTGTGTGTTTTTTCATAATACTGAAAAATGAATAACTTAATGGCTGTTTCAGAAATTAAATAAATAAAATGGTGGTCTCTGATTTTTGCACAGAACTGTATTGTTAGACAGTATCCTAGATATTTTAGGATGTCAGGTCATATACATTAGATATAGTGGAACATACACTTTTCTATCAGTGTTTTTGTTGTGTTTGGACAATGTGTTTGGTTACGAGGTGTGTTAGGCAAGAAAGGATTTCAAGTTGTGATTTTTGGGGCGAGCTGTCATGGCAGGCATTGATAAAGTTTGTATTTTTCCCCGTAGATCCACTTAGAACATTTGTGTGGGTCTATACAACAAAATAGTCGTAATTCCAACCCACTCTTTATCTCAGAGAATTAGTCAGGCTGTTTGTTTGTTACTGTGCCTTTAAGACAGCTATATGTAAACAAGCTCTGATTGGTTGCCCTGTATTGCGCCTCATTCAAAAAGCAGCCAAGGCTGAAACACTCCTTATAACTTCAGCATGAACAGGCTGGGTTACTCTTTAAATAGGTTGATATATATAAATGCGTTGATTTTCGTGACATCACAAAGACAAGTAATTCAAACTTGGCTGTATTTTTGGCTTAGTTTCCATTTATAAACTGTATGGACTTGGGAGTGAACAGCACATTTTGAAATTTTAACAGTGTTTACATACACTCATCCAGCACTTTATTAGGATCACTATACTAATCCTTAATTAGGCTCAAATAGGCTGTTCATTCAAGCAATGATTGATTGATACTAACAAGCCCAAAGTGTGCCAAGAAAACATTCCCAACACCATTACACTACCTCCACCAGCCTGGACTGTTGACACAAGGCAGGTTCAGTCCATAGATTCATGCTGCTGGTGCCAAATTCTGCTGTGTGCCTCAGCAGAAATTGAGATTCCTCAGACCAAGCTACGTTTTTCTAGTCTTCAGCGGTCTAGTTTTGATCCTTCTGCTGTTGTAGTCCATCCGCCTCATGGTTCGACAGGTTATGTATTCCGAGATGCTCTTCTGCTGCCATATTTACACAGAGTTGTTATCTGAGTTACAGTAGCCTTTCTGTCAGCTCAAACCAGTCTGGCCATTTTCAGTTGACCTCTCTCATCAACAAGGCATTTCCATCTGCAGAACTGCCGCTCACTGAATGTTTTTTTTTTCCTTTATTGCACCATTGTGAGCAAGAGTGGCGTGCGTGAAAATCACATTTATAGAAATACTCAAAACCAGCCCATCTAGCACCAACAATCATGCCACAGTCAAAATCACTGAGATAACATTTCCTCATTCTAATGTTTTTTGGTAGCTACTCTTCTGTCTACCTGCATCATTATATTACTGAAGTTCCTTAAACTAGACCATGACTTTAGGCTACTCCACCCTCCTCTGCTAACAAGTACAGGAAAGCAGCTGAGCAATGCTGAAGTCAGTCAGTGCTGGATTAGAGATTTACCAACACTCATCCTTCTGTTTATGGAGTTCCATGAGATGAATGGCTTTGGAAAAGCATCTGTTTTAAACCGTCTTGTGTGGTGCAGATATTACAAATACAAATGCTCAGATGTTTAGTCTCGCCACAGACAGTCTGTTTTGATTCATTGGTGATCTGGTGCATATTTCCAACTGCATTGTTAATTACACACACTTGCTTAATCTGGTGAGCATGCAAAATTCATTCTGAGCCTTCTTTAACTTCTTTATGGTACTGGCTACTACTACCTATGATTCACCCCTTTTAATACATACAGTCATATGCAAAACAGTCAAATTACAGTTTGTTGATTTTCTAAGTGAAAGTAAGTTAACACATCTTTTACAGTGGACTAAAATATGGATTTTTTTTCTGCTCAATTTAGTGGACACTATTTATTTATTTGCTGAGTTCAATTTAAGACTGATATGTGTAATTGATCTCTGTTCTGATTGGTTGCTCTGTATTGTGCCTCAGTCAAACGGCAGTCTGGACTGAAACACTCCTTGTGTTTTTTTTTGGTCTGTATTTGATAATACTTCAAATAATAAAACAGCTCCAGTGTCTTTACAGTAGTAGTAATAGGAACCAGGAGTCAAAATGTCTACAGTGTAAATATAGTCATTTTATTTACTATCCAAAACCTACAAAGAACCTACACATGTGTGTTCTGAGTTTTTATGTGTAATGTTAATAATGGTAAAATAGTGGCAAAAGCACGTATTTTAAAATTACATTTTCAAACTTTCAGTTGTAAAACAGTGTCTCACACATCAGGCAACGTATTTGTAACTATTGTGTGTAACTTTCTATTCTCTTCTCTTAGGCATTAAAAGCTTTGTACATCTAGTATCTATTACCAGTACTGTGAACAAACAAGTTTCTTTAGAACAGAGCATTTCACATGAAACCACTCATTTAATTATGCAGAAATTTTGAGAAATGGGTAAAATTCACCTTTAATACCTTAACTATAACCATGGAGTCTTATAACCTTATAACATTCTATTCTAACTTGCTTGCTGTTATATCAATTTTAATACTTTATAATTCCTGGTAGTAGCTTGTATAAATCCCTATAAGTAGTTATTGTTACGGGCAAAACACTGTCTAAAACAAGAGTATATGACTTTATAATGGTAGGTTTCATAATGCATTGTAATGTCTATTCAGAAGAACATTGTAAACATAAATGCACTATTGACATATATATATATGCATTTATAATGCATTATAAATACAAGAAAGGATTGAAATGTATCAAATATTATTCCATTTATTATGTACTTATGTTCTCAGTAGTAAGAATCTGTGGCTTGTTCATTCATTTCCTAGTTCATAATGTGAGGGAAAAATATTTATAAATTATTTATATTTATAAAACTATAAATTATAAATACGGTTTACAGCTAAAATATATTTTCTAGTTGTAAAATTGAATTTTGATATGTTAGAATTTAATTTCTAACATGTCAAAAATAATTAGAACTAGTATTTATAGCATGTTTATTACAAAATAAATTTAAAACTACAGGTGGGAGCGGCTTGCACGTGAGTCTCAGCAGCTTTGACGGTTTTTAAGGTTTAACACTGGTTCAGTTCCAATTGTCCTAATAGTGCTCTTTTTAAATGCAGAAGCCCTTATTAACGCCGCGACGCATGTAGTGCACTATATAGGGAGCAAGAAGTCATTTGAGACTCGGCCTTTCTGCTTCCACACCCTGCGTGTTTCTTTAGTTGTCTTCCCCAAAACTCACCCGCATTCAGTTTAATTCCAGATTTATTTAAGCAAACCAGGACTTACTTCTATAACTTGCACCATTGGTGACAGTTTTCACAGTGTTTTTACATGTTAAAAAATAAATGCGTTATTATAAATGCTCCCCTTTCAGCTCATAGTACTACATACGGTAGTTTCAGATTTTCTCTGCTTGTATTTTGTTTCCGTCAGTCCCGTTTAAACTGTGTCACAGTAGGAGGGGCTGGACTGAAATGGCGTCCGCCTGCTGCACCGTTAGCTTGTTAGCTTAGCGGCTAAGCTAAATGCCCTCATAACTGACACGTCGCTCCTCCAGCGGCTCCTCACTCCAGGACGTGAGTGGCTCGCGTTGCGCTCGGACAGAGGAAGGCATCGAAAGGATGTGTCCGCAGTGCATAAAATAGCCCTGCGGTCTCTCAGAGTTGGACAAGAGCAGGTTGGAAGGCTGGTTTTGATGTCGCCCTGAACTTCAGCTCCGCTCCTAATCTCCTCTAATCTCTGACTAGCTGTTTAGCTACCTGTAATTAGCCTCCAGCAACCTTGCCCATTTTCTTTTCCCTCTCAGCCGAGTCAGAAATATCAGTAAAACTTCTCAAAGTCGGCGGTGATAAATAACAGTAGTTCTAATAGGAAGTCAGTTTGTGTAGATAACTAAATGTTTTTGCTTTTTCACTTCTAGCTCTGTAATTGGCTAACTCGCTAACTAATCCGTCACTTCAGAGGCAGCTTCTTGCTTGACCCTCAACTATGTGTGAATCTTAAGTGACCGAGAATTTAAGGTCTTTTTTTTCTTCTTCACCGTGCTTTATAGAAAGGAAAGCTACTGAAGGCATTGCTATGCTAGTACTTTCATACTAAGTGTTAGCAGTGAAACTAAAACAGAGTAGCTTAGTTAAACTAAACTCTACTAGAGTCGTAGAGCTAAACCTGTATCGGAACGTGATGTTATGTTATTGTTGAGTATTTTTTCTTTTGCCTGCTAAAAGGGGGGTTCCACCGATTTTCCCCAAATGCCTGCATTGTTCAAACGTTGAGATGCAAACACAGTCATTCAGAGTTTGGTTTGGTGTGAAAGAGCGCATTGTAAAGAAATTTAGAGACTGTTTTTTAACAATGGTGGTGATAGGAACCAGGGGTCATGATCTCTACGATGCACATAAAGCCTTTTTATTGACTATTCAACACGACCAGTGAACCCGCGCGTCTTCTGAGTTTTTGAATGAAACGTTGATAACGGTAAAATAATCATAAATCTAAAGAAAACGGATTTACAGCCCCCTGCGTGTACCTCTTTGCCAAGAATGGACTAAAAAAGCTTAAAGCCAAACTCTTCTCAAAAATCCTCTAAGACAGTGTCTTAGGCTTCAGTGTATTCAGAAGCATTTATTGTAATAACTTTAGATGATATAGCTTTTAGAGGCAACTCTTCAAACGTCTGATTTCTATCAGCTCATCTGTGAAGGTTCTGGCTGGGCAAGCTTCTCTAGAACGGAGCATTTCACATCAAACCATTCTGAATAACTTTCTTTCCATCTTAATCTCTTAATTATGCTGAAAAAACGGTGCAGTTCCCCTTTTAAGATGCTGCATAGTGTGCTATCCAAGAGCCCAAAGCTTCATGATTCCAGCTAGTTTTTTTTTTTTTTTAGCTCTGAGTAGACTGTTTGTTCTTATATTCATTCATTTCTGTGCCCACCCCTTCCTTCCAGGTACTACTACCCTCTTGGTACTTTCCTACAACCCTACACTAAAGTAGCAATGGCAGCGGGCAAGAAGAAGATGAGTGCTGAGACGTATGTGTTGGCGGGATCTAACGGACTGAATGGGGCAAAAGCACCAGGGGGATCGCCTGTGGAGAGAAACCACAGCAGCAAGGTTTCCAGAGTGGCTAAGATGGCTTTGCACCTGCAGGACAAATGTGCAGCGTATGTCTTGGCTCTGCGGCCGTGGAGCTTCAGCGCTTCCCTCACGCCTGTGGCTTTGGGAAGCGCTCTGGCGTACAAGCTTGAGGGCTCCGTGGACCTTGTTATTCTGTTGGTCTGTGCGGTGGCGGTCCTGGTGGTCCATGGGGCAGGGAACCTAGTGAACACGTACTATGATTTCTCCAAGGGAATCGACCATAAGAAGAGCGATGACAGGACTTTGGTGGATCAGATATTGGAGCCGCAGGACGTGGTGATGTTCGGCGCCTTGTTGTACTCCGTGGGATGCCTTTGCGCCACCTTGTTATATTTTCTCTCTACGCTGAGACTCGAGCATCTGGCTCTTATCTATTTTGGTGGGCTGTCAAGCTCCTTTTTGTATACAGGAGGTAAGTGTGTCTAAAAACTTACCAATTGTGCAAAACCAAACTCAGTGTTGGGTTTTGAAGTAATTTGCTAGCACTGCTATTCCAGTTATTGTAAGTAGCATAGCACGTGTCAGATGTTTTGTCATTACACAATACTCAACCCAGGGGCATTAGCACAAGGGACACATGATAATATTGCTACTACTCACATTCTACAACATTAGTGTTATTTTAATATCAGTAATTGTCAGATATTGCTGATGTAGTGGATTTATTTACCCATGTTGTGGGTGAGGCGACTTACATATAGCTCTGCACAGAACTACTTTTTAACTTTAATATTTTATAGAGCAATTTTTAGCAGTTCTGTCGATTTCATTTGACCTATTACCCTCAATATTTATTACCATTATTGGAAATGTGTAGTTGTATGCAGTGTGTGGACGAACTTTGCAATGTTGATTGTGCTTCGGACACTCAGCAGATGAATCTGATGTTTGTGAGTGCATTGAACGAGTATTCAATTACTTCTGAGGATGTAAAGGAATGATTTACTATTGTCAACATGTCTTCACTAGTGTAATGTTGATTTTGCATCTGAGACATAAACATCAAACCAGATCTTTTTGAATTACTATTTTTAAATAGTTTTCTTTAAAACACTATTTTAGGCTTTACAGTGTGACTTATGCACACCATATTTTAGCGTGTTTTTTTTTTTTTCTCCTCCTGATGCATTAATGCTACTTCTTTCACAATGCAATATTAAACATACTCTATATAAGAACACACTTGTAACACACAACTGTAAGTTCATGGAACTACAAAGTTGATGAAGGCACTGCAGTACACAGTAATGGGCTACGGAAAGTTTTAAAATTATATTTACCACTCATTTCGAGCTAAAGTTCAAACAAACATGCAGTGACTGGGCCTAACTTTAGCTCAGTGTACTTGTGTGGTTTCCACACACTGTCATGTATCACACTTTCTCTATTAGAATATAGAGAATATTTTTGAACTAAATATTTGTTATAATACTTCTGGATGTTAACTTTCAGTATCTTTGTAGTGCTATCATCCTCTATTTTATCTGCATGCTTCATTTTTTAGTAGGCCTATGTAGTGGAACCAGTTGCCTGTAGTGACCTCATGCATGCGATTAAAAAGTTCCTCAACTAGAGTGATAAATCCACCTATTCTGATCGAAAATGCTGTTCATTGTAAATTAAATTAAATGAGTGTTTTTTACCAATAGCTTTGGTTGAAGTGTTTATTTGTTTGTTAACAGTTAATCACTTAATAATTTCCATCCATAATTAAAAACCATAGAATTTTAGAAACATTAATTGCATTGAGGTCAGTGAATTATAATAATGTTAACAATGACAGTAATAACAATAATACTTATTATTGTTGTTGTTGTTGTTGTTGTTTTTTCTCACTTCTGACTTTTTAATGGTTCTCGTTTGCAGGAATTGGCCTGAAGTATGTCGCTCTGGGCGATGTGGTCATCCTCATCACCTTTGGGCCCTTGGCGGTCATGTTTGCTCACGCCGTCCAGGTGGGTTACCTGTCTGTGCTGCCACTGGTGTACGCCGTACCGCTGGCACTCAACACCGAAGCCATCCTGCACAGCAACAACACCCGCGACATGGACTCAGACAAACAGGCGGGCATCGTCACCCTCGCCATCCTGGTGGGTCCCACGCTGTCGTACGTCATCTACAACCTGCTGCTCTTTGTCCCCTACGTGCTATTCTGCATATTAGCAACGCGATACACCATTAGCATGGCCCTGCCGCTGCTCACGCTGCCAATGGCCTTCCCTCTGGAGAGGCAGTTCCGCAGCCAGTGCTACACGAAGATCCCTCAAAAGACTGCCAAGCTCAATCTGCTGATGGGACTCTTCTACGTCTTTGGTATTATTTTAGCACCACAGGGTAGCTTGCCGCTCTTGTGAAAGAACTGTTCTTTTTATTTTTGGTCATTTCCTTTTCCTTTGTTTTGTTGTACTAGGATATGTACTTCTTGTTTGTATTTATAGTTTTTTTTCTTTCAGAAGTACAAAGACTTTAATTTATTGTATAATTTATGCTTCAGAGCTAACAAACACTTTGCAGTACATCGCGATGGAACAGAAGCTGTCCGGTGACATCAGTATTCTGCAAAGCGAACCAGTTGGTGTGTGCAAGGTGTTGACATTTACACGGTTGTTGAGCTGTATTAAATTATTGGTAAATATCAAATTTGGGATACACTGAGGAATTGTCATTCCCTGGACGTGTGAATATTTTGTAACTAGCAAAGTTGAACATTTACTTATTAATTTTCTGAACAATGTTCTTTGTACAATTTTATTAATATTGTTTGTTTAACAACCACAGAGTTTCAACTGTGTCATATAGGACAGTGTTTCTCATCCCTGGTCCTTGAGGCCCACTGCCCTGCACATTTTAGCTCTTTTCATGCGTTAACACACCCACTTTAACTCAATAATGTCTATTAATGAGCTGACTAGTTGGATCAGGTGTGTTGGGGCAGGGAAAACGTCAGTAAGTGCAGGGCAGTGGGAGAAACACTGATATAGCATATTCCATAGCCAAGCTTAAATTCTTAAATTGCCAGAGTTGTCAAACGGTATCCAAGTCCACTCAGTTACACGTTGTGCACTGTGTAGGACCGAATGTTGAGTAACATGGGCCAGATGTACTGTGTGTTTGAGCAAGCGTGAAGGAATTTTATCACTTCATATTCAAGTGTGTCTATATGTGGGCTTTTCAGAGCCTTTCACACATGTTTAAACAGTTAGTATGTGCAGCTTGTCAGCCTACAGCCAAATCAGATCGTTCTTTCAAGAAGGGAGTTACAGAATACAAATGCGGTTTAGTTACGTCACCTATAAAGAGCTGTGTTTGATAAAAATTTTAGGACTATCAGATCTTTTAAAAATAAATAAAATTCCAAACCTAAGTGGCTCACATAGTTTGGACCTTTTCGATCGTGATTCACTGATGAGATCACAGGTCAGCTCACATTTTAAAACCAGTGGTGGACTCAGGCTGTTTGAAGGGCAGGGGTACAAGGGCACCTACTGCACAACATGATGCATGTCACACAGCACTACCACTAGCCCTCTTGCCTCGATTGGACTTGTCCCACCTCAACGTCACGCAAAGATCTATGGTTGGTCTATGGTTGATCAATTTAAACGTTTGTCACATTTTTCCGTCCAAAATGAGCATTCATCATTTTGGTACTGAGACACACACACCACACTCTCAGTGATAATCCAAACTATGGCTCGGTTGCAGCTTTGGATCCAAGCTTTCAAAGAAAAGCTGTCTCTCACAGCATTTTCAGCTCCTTTTTTATGTGCTTCAGTTTTATCTATGTCTTTTATTTAGCAGTGCATCATTGGTAAAACTCCCATTCTAGAGGGGTGTGGCTAAAAGTAAAAACTTAAGTGGATGGAATAGATGTCAGTTTTTGACAGTTGGAATGAGTATTTTATACTTTGTTTCCTCATTGACAACAATTTACAATGTCGTTTACTGTCAAATACTGTTAACCTAACAATCTAACCTCACCTAAAGGGTACATTGAAAAATAAAAAACAGGGACAGTGCAGATGAGATTACACCAGAATGCTAGTTAGATATTAGCCTAACTTACTGCCCCCTCGCAAAAACACAGAAAAGATTTGTTAGCAGCCATACACTGTGTTTTGATTGTAAGCAGGGTTTAAGAGGTAAATTGAAAATCTCATCGAAGTATTTGGTGGCACCCCTAGACTGTCATCACTGCACCCACTTTGGGAAAGGCTGCTCTAGAGGGGAGACTGCAGGGCGCTGTGTCTCATTTTCTTCACTGAGATTGTTTTCTCTCCACTGGAGGGGCACTTCCTCATGTTTTCTCACTCAGAAGGGCAATAGGCCACTTGCTTGTTTTTAAATCAGAAATGCGCATGCAGGGAATGTTAAGTTTATCCCTCCACTAGAGGGGCATTCATTAGGAAACTTCCCCACATTCTCATGCATGTAGGGACACCCTTCATAACACTGCATCACATTTTATCCACTGGAGGAGCATGTCTTTATTAGAGGAGCACCTAACTGGGCACTTCATGTTTTCCCACCTGTAAGAGTACCCTGTGTAGAACTGCATCCCATTTTCTCTTTGGAAGTGACACCCATTGGGATACTGTCATGTAGGGGCTGCATAGCAGGCACTTTACAACGGCACCCTTTTCGATTGGAAGGGCACCAATAGGAAACTAAAGTTTTAATCACTGTAAAGGGCACTGCATCGTCTTTTCCCCACTAGAAAGGCACTCATTAAGACATGTTAGCAAAATTTTTGGTTCTAGAGAGCACATCTTCATAATTTATCGTAGGAAGGGGCACCCTAGAGGGCACTCGATCATTTTTTTCTCCATATGAAGGGCTGCCAAGGGGCACTTCCTCTCATTTTTGCCAGTCTAGAGGACTGCTCTGAGACTGCCAGTGAATTTAAAACTATTATTGCCTGCTTGAAGATGCCCAGACCGGTACAATGACATGTTTGAACGTCTGATCAAGTCCATCTTCTCAAACCATATAATGGCATACAGTGTTCTGGCAACTGACCTGACTGCTGAACTACCATTCTTATCTTTCCTTAAAGCCATCAGTGAATGGACCAGCCTGTCATGGGCCTGTGATGGGCACACTACAAGAAATTGTGCACTAGCCTGTGTCCAATTTTTTAATAAATTGTGTAGCCACTAATGAATAAGTACTCTGTCATCTCTCTGGGGTTTGCCAATGCTTGATGATAGATCTTAAACTGTGCTGGTAAAAGAGATGTGAAAATATACATTATATTCTTTGTCACAGTTTTGACTGCTGGAGTAATAAGTTTATGATATGCTGATATAATGATGGAAATGGTGCATGTAGTCTTCACTGGGTTATCATGACAAAATCAAGCTATATAACAGAAAACAGTTGATAGCGCTGTGAACAGTAATGGGAGCCCCTGTGACACAATACATTCTCCATCAATCCGAAGAGCCATTTAAGCATGAATTGGCTCTACATAGAACTCATGGTTCTAAGTAGAACCATTCCCTTTACTAAAGAACCCTTGAAGGCCCATCTTTTTTAAGTGTGTATGGTAGTATGCGGTTTTGGACGCAGGCATTCCCTTTCTCAAGTGCATGCTTAAAGTCAATGGCACCGCTCATGTGAAACATTTATGCCGCACATTTGTGAAATGTTTGTTGTTTGCTGTTCAGCAGAAAACACATTAACAATTTTGCCAGTTTTCTACCATTGACAGTTATGTAAGAGAACAATTGTTAGTTCCCAAACAACAAAAAAAGAACAAAAACATGATAAGTAGTCGTATGAACGCTGTCAAGTCACCAAAAAAGTAATTTGCCATTTGTCTTTTTTTATTAGTTACTTTGAAACATCGCAGTTTGAATTAAAAACGCTATATGATTAGGATAAATAAGTACGTCGAAAAATGTGATATTTTTATAGGCGAGTACGATTTATTTGTTTACTGTGGTCTGATGTGTTATTGTGTCTGAACTGCAGAGGGCGCTACCGCACAACGAATAGCGATTCTCCCAAATAAAAGCTGTAAAAGCTATAATACATTCACAAACACTCTGTGAAGATCCTACCAAAATCATCTCAAGGCCAGCTGTTTCTTTTAGGGACCCTGTACACAGGTCTGCGTGTTTTACGAATACGACTCCATCCAGGGAGGGTAAAGTAAGGTTTGAAAGTGACAACCCCAATGTTGGGGCCACTGAGGCTAATGTAAGGAGTCCGCGCATGTGCGGTGCATAAAAGAGAACGTACACTAGTGATGGAAAGCTCGATTCAGTCTCCTGAACCGATTCTTTTGAACTGCCAGTTTCAAACAATCGAACATCCGATTCAGTGATTCATTTTTTTGCAGTCAAGTCCACTGTATTGTCATTATGTTCTTTTAAGACGGGAAGAGTGAATATAATGTCGCTATTTGTAGTCACTCATTGAGTCTCCCATACAGAAATACAGAATATATGGCTCATATTCGAAAATGGCCAATTTCAAGTAAGTTATATATGTTCATATGTGACAAATATAAGTTGGACAAAAAGGAAATCCACATATGCTAATATAAGTCATATATTTGAAATCCATATGTTGCCATATCAGATTTCTGTATGGGCTGACTCGGAACAAAACACAAAGAGGAGGCCAGCAACTGTCTCTACATCTATATAGAAATACAGAAATATTTCTCTTAATGTGTCAAAATGTCTCATTTTATATGATCACTTAACTTGATCACATTTGGAAGGGGACTTGTAATTGTTTCAGGTCTTCAACACGTTCGTTAACATCGCTTAAGTGTTCGGATTTACGAATTGGCTCTGTGTATTGAAAAGAACCGGTTCGAGAGAATGATTCGATTCAGGAGTCGGACATCGTTAACGTACACACCGTCTGTCAGCTGTCTCACAAGCTCGGCGAAACCTGCCAATACCTGAAAACGTAACTGAAAACATGAATAACTCTTCGTTTTGAGCTCCCCTGTTCAACTGCGCTACGCCTGGGGCGAAACAGGGGGGGAAATAAATAAAAAATAAAAGTGACGACGTTCAGCGTGGGAGTGTCACAGCCCGAATCCCCGCTCCTCGCCGTGTTGTTGCTGTTAGCATAACTAGCACGTCTGCTGAGCCGTTTTGGTCGCCTCTCGCCTCTCGAAAGCTCCACCGGCTGCTAACAGAAGCCTCGGTTCGATATGTTATTTGTGGACTTAATGTAGAACCAAAGAAAGCGAAGACCCCCAGTGGAAGGTTAGTGAAGCCTCACAAATGCTATCTGCGCCTCCGCTTTGATAGCGAAGACGACGAGCCGTGCCGTGCTAGCCCTGAGTCGGTACATAAAGACTAATGACACATGCCTGTCCTGCTGCTCACTTACTCAGTCATGCTCGTCGCTTGCTTTAGTCTAAAGCTTAGCCTTTGAGCGAATTAAGCGCTGGGCCGGCGAAGTTCTCGTGGAGGCATTAATGCTGTCGACAGGTAAGCCTGCAGTTGCTCATATAGCTGTGTGACTGTATATTTTCATTTTCCACCACTAACGGGCTCCGTGCAGCTCAGCGGAGCTGCTCATGTCTTGGTCTGGGGTCTAGGGCGATGTCTTAATGTCTCAGCCCCGCTGATTGCAGTGTCAAACAATAACGTGGGTGGGATATTTATTGTATTTACTGCTGGCGCAGACCTCCGCTGTGTTTAGCTAGCAGATACCTCATTTCTGGACGTAATTCTGAAAGATGTTCACAGCTTTCACTGTGAAAAACGAAGCGTTGTTAAGTGAGGTGCCATTAATGTGACGTTAGCTGGCTGACGACTGGTTGCCAGCAGGATGAAGGAGCAGAGTCATGATGTTAGGACTGCAGATTGCTGTCACTGTTTCAGACACGTAGAACACATTCTAGCAAATTCTTGATTTTTTTCCCGACCTCATCCTCATGTTCTCTTTTAGTTCAATATAGACTGCATTATTTGAGGCAACACACACGTATAGGTTTGGTTGTACTGTAAATGACACAGCCATAAGTGGTAGTAGTAGTAGGTTTCATTTAAACATGATGCTTTGGTTGTGGGGTATGATGACAGTGTGTATATGAAAACTTCAATGTAAATCATGTCAGATTCATTTGCCAGCTCCATGATGTCACTTTCAATCATGAGCCTGTGCATCCTGTAGTAATGCATGTCCATATTTTTTAGATGAATATGTGCACCTGATTTGTTAGCTCTAAAAGAGCTATTTGTTAGTTCTTTTTGGCAATTGTTGGTCCTTGACTGGCTATACTGGCATGGTGGAGATGTCCAGTTAGGCAGTGCCAAGTTTAGATTTGGAAATATTGACTTTGGACAATAGATTGTTGCGGTAGACCAGCACAGTATCTGTTTGACATAAAGTGCATTTGAGTTTACAGCATGGCAAAGGACTGTGGCCATGATTAGTTTATATACCTGTTATGTAATTCCTATTAGTGTTAATGGGAAAGTGCTGTGAATCAGAGGCCTTATGGTCTGTCCAATTCAATTATGCATATTATGACATAATTTAGCTCACATATGACTTGAGACACATCATCAAGGATAGATTTAGAACCTTACTGGAGCACAGTGGCAGTTGTTTCTGTCGTCAGGTGCTATTCGGGCTGTAACCCTTTTAGTATGTGGCTTCTGGCAGTGGCATCCAAACAGCACTCCAACCAGTCTGACTCAAAAGACTGTTTTAGATCTTTTGTGTGCCTGTGGTTTGTGAACAACGTTTAGGTCAGCTTCTCTGATTTGGTAAATGTGTCTTGCTTTTGAGCAATCAGAGAGTCTTTTTCAGGCAGTTTATATATTTAATAATAATAATAATGATAATGAGGAAACCCATAATAATTGTTGACTAGTTGGATATAGCAGTTGGCTGATAATATCGGCTGATATTATATTGGTTTTATTGGTATTGGTGAAAATGATGCTTAGCACCACTGGGGAGTCCAATATGAGGATATCCCCTGTTTAAAAATATGATAGCAATACAGAGTGAACTGGTAAATTTGAACACTGAACACCATTATGCACCATTGTTGCAACAACAAAATATGTAAAATGTATGTGTACCTCACTGTTAGCGTGAGCCTAAAGCATTTTAGGAAACTGATAGAAAATAAATAAGTAATAAATAATAAGAGATAATAAGCAGGGAATAAACCCTTAATGAATTCTGGCTAGCTCCACCCCAAGTGCTATAATATTAAAATCATTAAAGATTGAGTTTCTGTTGTCTGTTTGAATTTCAGAATTGTGACAGTTGAGAACTTTCAGTCAGTCAAGCACTTCTTAACTAAAACTATTGGGGCAGATTGCCCAGACAAGGATTAAGCTCAGTCCTGGGCTATATTTTCCATTCATTGGAGAATTGGCATTCAGAATGCTGTGTAGTCCAAGGCTTAATCCCTGCCAAGGAAACCAACCCCTGGAGTACAAGATTAAAATCTTAGTCTGAAAATAAGTTGATATTAATGGTTATGTGAATTTATAGCCCCTCAAAATCGCAAATGGCCACAAAATTTTCATATTGTTCGGGGATAAATTTGGATTTAGCTGTGGACGATAGCTCAGTAGGGCTTGGGCCCTGTAACTGCTGTGTAATCAGAGGTTAAATAGAGATTTAGGAGCTGGGTAGAGCATTGCTTCTTTCATTGTGCCATTCAGTCTGTGTTAGCATAAGGGGTGGGCAATATGACAATGTTTTATCGTGATAAGTTACGACAAAGTATGCTTTTATGAGGATATCGCAGATATCATGAGAACCTAAAAACACTGAATGATTGCGTGTTTCATTAAGAAAAGAGCCTAATTGTGATGTTTAATTGGACTTGCTGTACTGCAGAATGTGAAATGTTAAATAAAAATCATTGTAGTTGTAGTTTTTGGCGTAACTGTTTTTTTCCAGTTACAGACTATATTGAATATAGTGATAAAAATTGTGTATCATGAAAATTTCCTACTTTATCCTGATATTGTACTTCGCAATATTGCCCGCTCCATCTAATTGCCCACTCTTACTCACTATCAAGTCTTCTTAATTATAGGCCACACTGAGCCCATTCCAGAAATGAGTGTCAACCTGGCTTGCTCATTCAAGTTGTAGACAACTTAAGTGCAGATAAAATATTGACATGCCAGTTATATGATATGTGTGACTAGAAACATGAACATATCGTTGCTCAGCAGAGATTTGTCTGAAGTCTGCAAGTGTGTGTGTGTGTGTGTGTGTGTGTGAAAATGTCAGAACATGCTGAGCTTCCTGGCTGATCCAGGAGACTTACTACTTGTGCATTGGTAGCGTAGAAGACCAAAATATCTTACACCACAGGCTGGCTAAAAATGAAACACACAGATAATGCCTAGCACTAGTCTTAAAAGGATTTGCAATGGATAAATCCCATTGTGGGTGAAATTTATTCTGGAACTTGACTCAATTTGTGTCAGGATATCCTGCCCAAAATTTAATTAGGAACATGTAATAAATACATACTGTGTACCCTTATCTCCCCTTAGTGCAATTTTACATAGGCCTGTGATAACATTCCTGCTCACCATAGTGCCTTTGATGGTTTCTTGTTACATACTCTGGCTTTTTATAAATGACTTTAACAGAAAATGTGTTTAGTGAATCATGTGATTTGTCTGTTTTTATCATAGATGCGTTCCTCCGCAGATATGAGTGTGCTACACTGGGTCTTTGTAAAGTGGTGATACGTTATATTTAGTAACTTTATGACCACTAAAGGAAAAAATGGGTTGTCGAGTGGTACATACAGTTTATGCAAAGGTTTTGTGCCCTGGTCAAACCACATTTCCTTTGCTTTTACCTTAAACAGTCTTACTGTATTTCCTCTTGCGTCCGCTTTAGCGTTAGGGGAAAAAGTGCTGCCATTATAATTGTTACTGTCTGCTGATGCTTCCAGGAACATAGCTGATGGTGTGTCCAGAAGCAGTAGCAGATATACTTTATGTACAGATGCACAGAGATACTAATACTAATACTATTGCTACTACTAATAACAAGAGCAACATTTTTTCTTCTGACAATTTATGGTGGCCTCTAACTCTGAAGCGCTTGTGGGAGCAAACACAGTGATCACATGTGGGATGAAGTAATGAAGTATAAAGTTTGTGAAGTAAAAACAAAACAAACAGAGAAGAAAAAGTAAAAAATAACCGTAAAACTTGTGGTTGTAGTGCTTTGCCATCTTTAATTTTGCCATGAAAGTATTATTAATCTAGTAATAAGGAATGGAATTGCAAGTTGCACGCAACATTTACAGATGCTGTGGAGCCTATTCTATTCTGTACACAATATACATGATGGTAAAGAAGGATATCGCATTATCCAGCATGTTTAAAAGTTCAGCCATGTTCACATGTATTAGTGTCTCGCTAGTTGCATGAAATAGATCAGTAACCGAACAATGATTTTATAAACCTGAAGTAAATTGAGGGCTATTACTGCAGTTAACAGTCACAAGGCATATACATATATATGTGTACACACACAGACACACACACACACACACACACACACACACACACATATATATATATATATATATATATATATATATGTAGCTTTCTATAGGTTGTGGTTTTGTTTGCTTTTACCAGTGGTGTTGTTAGGCATTTTATCAGTGTGAGCAATAGAGATTGCAAGATACTGCTTTCTCATTTCTGATACTGATATTGAAGCCTTAATAATCATCCAATTTAATATTTTTTATATCAGATGCATCATGCCTAAACCCTGCCCCATTTCCAGTCCTTCATTTTCTGCTGATATTGGCCTGATACTGATACCAAGTATTGTATTTGTAACATCTCTAGTCATTATAATTGAGTGTAAATGTGTGCACGTTTGTGTGTTACAGAATGAAATGCGGTTGCCGTCCACACCTCCCACAGCTGTTCCATGGCTGTGGAGACACACATAAGCTATTCCTCTTTTTTATTTTCCTCATGAGCCACTCGAGTTGTCTGTGTGCCCATCCCCCAGTCTTCCCTTGTGTAGTTTAGTATGACACGTTCTCAACTCGTCAAATAAATACAGACACACTCGCACAGGTGTACTCATACATACAGACTAGGGCTGTCACTGTTGTTTAGTAATGTATTGATTATTTTAACAGTTACTCAAGTAATTTAATATAGTTCCTCGTGTAAAACAAAAATCACCTTAATTCAGTCATTGTATTATGTCTAACCTTGTCATTTATTACACTGTGACATGCAGTAGACCAATAATTATCATGTTTTTTTCTAGTAAAAAAAAATCCTGGTTATAGATTATATCCCCCCAAATTCTGTTTTTAGTTGAAATGCTTCTTTTGAACGTTGGCCTGTTTTAATGAAAATATTTAAAGCCTCTGTGTACTTATTCGAATGATTTTCATCTAACTATTATCTGTAGTTTTTGTACTGTGTAATGAAAACTACTTCACCTGTTGTAATAG